GGTAAAGGTCAGTGGGTACAAAGTAACTAAATGGGTGTAACTCAAGAAATAGTTTTTCATATCAGCATTATGGTGGTTGTTGGAAAAGGAACTTCATCTGAGTTTATGTAGCATTCCTCCATCGACAGCCCCCCCCCCCCAGTAGCACAGCGGTATGTCTGCGGACTTACAATGCTAGGATCCGAGTTTCGATATCCGTGGTGGGCAGAGCACAGATAGCCAATTGTGTAGTTTTGTGCTTAATTACAAACAATTCAACAACATTTCAAACCTCTGTCTGATCCGTGTTATTTGCTACAATGGGTGCATATAATCATGACTGATCATTGTCAAATACACGCAAGTCTTATGTATGAAACACATAACCTCTTCAATGTTCTGTAGGACAATATTTCACAATAACCCTATTTAAAATATCAGAACTTTTCAGACGTTGTTTCACTATTATAATAAGTACTCAAAACGAACTAATTCGCTGTCTAACTCTAAACTGGAGAAGATTTGTTTTTCTATCTAAGATGTCAAGCTAACTGTACTTTGAATATGCTGACGTCACCAACAGACAGTATACTAGCTATGAATTATACAGCCCCTCAAGGGCTTGAAACAGCCAAAGATGTCAAGCTAACTGTACTTTGAATATATTGACGTCACCAACGTATGACACATAAGGCTTAATTCTAAACTGACCACGTGACCATGTTTTACATTGTTCTAAGTGCTGGTCAAGGTTAGGTATGAAAATATGTATGTATATTAGGAAAACCACCTGTTCAAATTACAAAGGCTAGTGACCCTTTTGCTTCTGGATCCTGTTATAAAACACCGCAATTTACTTCTCACGGCTGCGGGGCCACTTATTTCAGGTCTATTTGTGCATAGTCCTGATGGCCCAAGTTGATCCACGTTCCTTTGTTTTTCAATGCCATTAAGTACAAGGGAAATGCAAAATTCGCTATTTGAATATACCTTAATGTTTTTCCGAGTGATGACAAAGATAACGTACAGGATTGTTGAGTTTTATGATTCATTATTTGAAAACATAAAAATAATCCACTTAACAATTATATAATTATCATAGCGTATATTAATACTTGAGTGCTGTTTGGCTTTGATGAAGATTGAATTAATTAATTCAACACAGAGTACTTTTACTCAATGAGTATATATATCTATCACATTTGTTCAAATATTTCTTTGTTTTGCTAAAGCAGTTTCAGCACCGACAGTATCAGGACAACCATTGTCGAGGGGTTGCAGAGATAACATACGTGATTTGTGCACTATATGCTCTTTAGATAGATTTGTCCAGTTTATAATGTGGTGTTTTATTTTACATCTTTAAAGTACGGAAGCTGCAAATCTTCATAGTCAAAGAAAAGTTTAGACGTATGTATCTATTTTGATATTTATAAAACTCTTTTACTTGTTCTTAAACAATGTTTAAACAACTCTATTCAATTATATACCAGCTACCCAGTGTCGGCTAACAATACGAAGAATTAAATTGTGGCGAAGTCCCACAAGTTCTTTAAATACTTATAGAATGATAGGTTTCTTTTTTGTGAGTGTAAAACACTTAAATACACCAATTCAATTTTCAATACCTCACTATTATAAAGGTTTGGTTTGGTCTGATATCTCAATGGTAGTAGTGTCCAGGGTCAGTGGTGAGAGTGGAATTCTCCGAAACTAATCTGGCTCAAGACACACCCCAAGCTTTTACTTGTTGATAAACAATGTTTAAACAACTTTATTCAATTTGAAAACTTCATTTAAAGACACACATAATGTATATATATATATAAATGTAGATAACATAGATCTTGCTGCTATTTTTTTAAAATACTACGTTTTATTGATATATAACAATTTTCTGTATTTATGATAAATTCTTTGATATATACATATCAGAAAAGAATGTATTTTGACAATGTTACTGATAACGTGTTTATTAAACCATCCAATAAAGCAATATTTTATTGAGTTAGAAAATATACTTACATCATAAACACATTTATGGTTAGTTATATACAAGTTTATGTTAAAAACAAATATTATTGTAAAATAATTAAATTTTAACAGCACTAAGTTGTCTCTTAGATTTTGGGGAATAAAAGTTTTGATTTATTATTCACTAGATTTTAGTGTATAATACACCATTCGTTGCTAGAGTAACCACCACTGATCACTAGGTGGTTGAATACTGCAACTGAACTGGCAAAGAACGACAAGAAGAGGATCTTGTGAGAATTGCCAAGTCCATTGTACATGACTTACAGTGTCCGCCAGAACCAATGCGTCTGTGTAAGGTCGTTAAGGAAGGAGAAGATACGGACTGCACAACGACACAAGATGAGGCAGATCTTTTGTTTGCTGTTTTAACTAATGCATCATTTTCTGGAGCCACTGATTTTGTTGAGCTCTCACTCACAGGTTGCTTGTCAGTGGATTTCTCATGTCCAGGAGAACTGGTTTCATACTTCTTAGAAATGGGCAGTGTCTCGGTTCCGGGGTCCACCAAGGAGTATAGTTTCAGGACTGTAGCTAATTCCCGAAGCACCTCGGTGTCACTCGCTTCCAACAAGTTAAACTGTTGGGCAAAGAGCATGAAGTGGGAGAAAATGGTGTTGAGGTGGGCATGAAGGTTGAGGAGAAGTATCTCTCTGAAGTGGGCCTGGTAAATGTGGGCTATTATGTGCAGCAGCAAACAATGGATTTTCTTCACCATGGATTCAAAGGAACTAGGAAAGGATTTATCTGAAAAACATCACAGAAATATAGAGTAAGAACGAATACTCCGAAACATTCGTTCATTTTTGTCATAAAAACAAATAGTGTAAAATCTAAGTTATAGTTAGAAATAAGAAATTAAAGTTATTTTTCATTATTCTTAGGCTCTCCAAGTGCTATGCAACGTTTGTGTGAAACCTCCTTCTTCTCTGAAAGACACACCATCTTACTTCTGTGTTCCAACGTATTAGTGTCTTATTCTATATACTTAGCCATAACCAAATAGTAATTAGTAGACATTAATTGCAATATTGATGATATTTTTATTTAATGTTTTTTGTTTTTTATGTGTGTGTGACGCATGTCATTATGGATCTTGTAATCATTAGCCTTGGACCCGTAAGCAATGTATGTCATAAATGGTTTAGAGTTGTGTTTAAAAAGCCAATATGAATCCATATGGGACTCATCAGTAATTTTAGAATTAAGACTTTTTCTAGATAATGTATTTCTCATAAGTAAATTAGCAGTAAATTTAGGATTAAGACTTTTTCTAGATAATTGATTTCCTGGCGATACTAATCAGTAATTTTAGGGTTAAGACTTTTTCTAGATAATGTATTTCCTATGCGTTAATATGTAAACCCTAACCACTACACTCATCCTTATATCGTACAGACATGGAATAAGAAGAAATAAGATTTAAATTAATCTAAATACATTCTATTAGAAAAAAAAAGAAATCAAAATACACATTTATTCTTTACTGATATATTTTTCCCGGAGCTATTGATTAATGATATCTGCCCTTTGGCTGATGAATTGTATAAATACATATTAAATTAGGAGCCTGATATTGATCTTGGTTCAAAAGATTCATGTTGAAAATAAATAGAACCCTTCTGCATTAGATGTGTGTAAGATAAAAAATAAAACATACTGGAAATATTTGTATATTTTTATGACAATGGCATATAGAATTTGGGTGTAATATATATAGGTAGCGTGGATGACGTACCGAACTTAGTGTGAAATATTGGTACTGTGGATGACATACAGAAATTGGTGTGAAATATTGATGCCATGAATGACATGCCGTCCTTCGTGTAAAATAACATATCTCTGATGTGAATAACTGTAACGAATTTGTTGTCATGTATTTATTTTTAATACAAACGTTGTTTAGATTAAGTTTGTATTTAAAAATATGCGTAACTTATAGTGTTGGATATGTATTGCATATAGTGAATTTGTTATATATATATTTATTTTAATGACGACGTTTGATTGGAATTAGTTTATATTTAAAAACGTGCCTAGGTTACAGTGTTAGTTACGTATGGCGAAACTCCCGCCAATTCTCCAAGGTTTTAGAATATTCCTGAATGCAAGAATCGACAATATATCCACTTCTGTAACCAGTTAAATATAGTTCAGTATTGTCCGAACTTTCGAGAAAAATATTTCTCGCATCTATAAAACAGACAAGGCGACACGCCAAAAAGAGAGAGCTTATACGTCTGCTAGGACCTGTTATAACCGTGATATTGCTAACCCTTATCAACCGGAAAATATACGACATTTGGCCAGAAACAGTTATAAATTTCGAAAGTCAGTAGATTCTCATCGAACGTTAGTATCTTTCCGAAAGTATTACTGAATTCTCATCGGACATTAGTAGTTTTATGAAAATATTATCCTACTTCGACGGTCCAACAATTCAATGTCTGACAAAACTAGCTAGCTTCTCGGCAATTGTACGTACATCGACTTCAAGTTAACTCGCTGGATATCAAGAAGATTCTGAACTAGAAAGAAGATTTTGTGTTGTTTGTAAGTTAGTGAAATTTTTGTTTTATAAAACTTTGCTTGTGG